TAGCTACCAAGAGAGTGGCAAACGTAGTGGGTAGGGGGCAGGTGGCAGTCAGAGCTGTCCCTCCTGGAAGCAGGCACTAAAGGATTGCCCTGTCTGCAGAGGATTTAGAAGAGAATAAAACCAACTAAAGGCGTCTGCTTTTGTTATCACCCTGTACCACTAATTTCAAATACTGTCAGTAATAAAACATTCCTCCCTGCTGGGCACTGAGAGTGAAGCTAGCTTTTCTATCCTCTGATAGAAACATTAACAGGGCAAGTGAACCTCATTTCCAGTCACAGAGAGAGGTTCTTCTCAGTACTTTGCAAAGCGTTTCATACTCCAAATCCCTGTCCATGTTAAAACAGACACATTTTCCTTGAGCGTGTTCAGAGTCTTGCAGAATTGTGCTTCCTCAAGACAAAGAGCAACCACCACATGACCAAACGTCTAGGAAGAAGTGTCTCAACCTATTTTACAGAACTTCTCGAGAAACTTCTAAAAGAGCAGTACCCATTCGCTCTCTCAGGGAAACACACTGAGCAGCTCCTCTGAGAGTGGTGCAAGGCAGGAGCCGTGGGTGTGAGTGGGTTCACCCGCCAGGCCAGCGGGCTGTGGACAGCTTGCTTTGCAGATGAGCTGGAGGGATTTGTCTCAGTGCCCACACCCTGGGCCTCCTTGGAGTGTGCATCTCACTTGCCTTCTGGGCTTAGCTGTAACAGTCCAGAATTCTCCCAACCTATCTGAGAAGTGCAGCTGCTTGCTTACCATATGTGAAACAGATCGCCAGTCCAGGTTCGATGCATGAGACAGGGTGCTCGGGGCTGGTGCACTGGGACAACCCTGAGGGATGGGATGGGAGGGAGGTGGGAGGGGGTTCAGGATGAGGGACACATGTACACCCGTGGCTGATTCATGTCAATGCATGGCAAAAACCACTACAATATTGTAAAGTAATTAGCCTCCAATTAAAATAAATAAATTTTAAAAATAAAATAAAATCACAAAGGCTAATTCAGCAGCAGAGAGTTCTACCTGCCAGCAGGCCAGACCTGAGGGGTTCCCCAAACTCTCTGATGCTGAAATTCAATGCTCTCGGTGCTAAAACTGAAGAAGTCCAAGGCAAATCAAGATGGTTGCTCAGTCATCCTTCTAGTTGCTGAGACTTTTAAATCATTTTTGGGGGGGTGGCTTGTTTTAATTTTTTGAAATCACCATGGGCCCCAGGCTTGGGACATGGAGAGGTTGGTCAGCATCTTCATCTTAGCTATGTATTGGAACCACACAACAGGCTCCAGAAAAACCTAGAGCAGGAGTTCTCAACAGCAGCATGACTGACATTTTAGGCAGGAAAATTCTGTTTTGTAGGGGGCTTCCCTGTGCATTTTAACAACATCCCTAGCCTCTACCCATGTATGCCAGTAGCACACACACACACACACACACACACACACACACACACACCACTCCTCTGTGACAATAGAAAATGTCTCCAGATATTTTCAGATGTCTGGAAGGGGGAGCAAAATTGTTCCAGCTGAGGGCTACTGCTCAGAGAGATGTCTCTGGCTGCCTCACTAAAAACGGGGGCATGAGTGCTCAGTCACTTCAGTCGTGTCCAACTCTTTGTGAACCCATGGACTGCAGTTCCCCAGGCTCCTCAGCCCATGAGCTTCTCCAGGCAAGAATACTGGAGTGGGCTGCCATACCCTTCTCCAGGGGATCTTCCCGACGCAGGGATCGAACCTGTGTCTCTTATGTCTCCTGCATTGGCAAGCAGGTTCTTTACCACTAGCTGCCACCTGGGAAGCCAAAAATGGGGGCTGTTGGGTACAAATCAAGGCTGGAAAGGGGGAGTCTCCTGGCTTCACAGCCATCCTATTGGCCACATAAAAGACTAATAATGACCACTGTTCACTCTTCTTGGGTAGAATCAGAAGCAGAGTTAGGCTGAGATCCCCCTTTTGAGACAGGAGATAGATGCCCCCCTCCCCCAGGGTAAAGCAATTGGAGATTCATCCCCTGAAAACTGAAACTCTAAAATATCAATAGCAGGACAATTGAAAGAGGAAGCTGGGCCCTGCCCAGATAGAAGATAAGAGACCGTGTATTTTTCATTCTTGAAGTCAGGACACCTCCATGACGACCCTTGCGCAGAAAGGTTCCTTGGAGGTCAAAAGGAGAGTGATGCTAAGTGATGCTCCGCTCATAGGCTCTTGGATGGAATCCCTCCCGGTTAAGAGGGACATGTGCACACATGGAGGACACTGAGATATACAAACACGGGCTCTGAACCAGGCACGTCAGAATGGCCGGCCAGAGGAAACCCAGAAGAAATGTCCCATGCAAATGATTTAAACCACCAGGACAGTGTGACCCTTTCTTAGCTCTTTCGTGTGTCTGTCCATAAGTACTATACTTTTTCTTCCTAATAAATACTTTGTAACCTTACTTTCCATCTTTGTGGAAATTCTTCTGCCTCAAAGCTGAAGGGTCAAGGCCTTGTCACTGACCACTGGTCTAGCGGCCGGGATTTGGTGCTCTCACTGCCGTGACCTGACCCCAATCTCTGGCCAGGAATAGAGGCTTCACTTCAAGCTGTTCCAGGCCCACACCACCCGAGATTACTGTGATAGTGTGACCTGGGCAGGTGTCCCCTTAAAGAAGCGCTTCCCACAGGATGTTACAAGGATTACTTCCTGTCCTATGGGATGCTCCCTAGGAAAACAAAAGAGGGCTTTATTCATGAAGGACTTTATTCGTGAAGTACATTACATATTGAAGGCTCTGGGAAATCTCTCCATAAAGGAAGCTATTTAGATTTTACAACCTAGATTCATGCTGAGGTCAAACTACCCATTAAATGCCATTGTCAACCTCCCAACCATAGGTTCTTTGGAAACTGTGGTGCCCTCCCTGAGATTTCTGAGAATTTTCAGAGTTTGCGTTCTTGTGCTCGCTTCCGGCTCTGAGTTCAGCCTCGCTCTGAATGGTCCACCTCATTCATATTGCTCCTCTTACCACTTCCCTTTATTTCTGCTCTGTGCTGACGGAGACGTGGACTTCGGTTCCCTTTCCATGATGCCCCCTTCCCTTAAATACCCGCACCAGGAATTGGTGTGTTCAGGGGGCTTTATTGAGGTTTACGGTGTTGGAAATCTTTTATGTGAGTTTAGCTCCCTTTGGCCTCAAGACTGCCCTCATCACCTCCCCAGGGCACTATTTGTGCAGTCTCCTCCACTCCCACCCCGATTCCATTCTCACCTTATTGTACAAAACAACTTTGCCTTCCCTTCCTTATTGGTCTTGGACTTGCTTTTGCACTTTCAAAATCTTGTGAACAGGTGACCACCTAATCTATCATCCAAACCATGACACTTTTGAGAATGAAAGGGGACCTAATAATAATTTTGCTGGGACCACAGTTGTACACCAGGAAAGTCCCCAACAAACCAGGGTATGTGGTCATCATACATCTGTGCTAAAGACAAAGGGTTGTCTGCTCTTGAACTTTCCCATTATCAATAGAAAAGAAGGCAGAGGCTTGGAAATCTTTGTGTTTCCTTCCTAATTTCTTCTCCCTTCTCCAGTCCCTATAGGTGGAATGGAGCTATAGAATAGGCGTTTTCCTAATGATGTGAACCATGCCATCCTCGAAGATGAAAGTGACTTCCATAAACTTTGTTTTTAAATGAAATTTTCTTTTTTCCATTGCATTTGCATGCTAAATTGCTTCAGTCATGTCCAACTCTTTGAGATCCCATGGACTGTAGCCCACCAGGCTCCTCTGTCCATGGGATTTCCCAGGCAAGATTACTGGAGTGGGTTGCCGTTTCCTCTTCCAGGGGATCATCCTGACCCAGGGATCAAACCCACATCTCTTATGTGTCCTGCACTGACAGGCAGGTTCTTTACCACTAATGGATTTTTAACTTATTCATCAGTCCCCAAATTTATTTGGTCATAGAGCTTATCTATTCTCTTCATCTCAACACCCTTTAAAACCTCCCATAAATGAAAGAACGCACTTTGGGAAACTGTCAACTCAGAGTAGTATGGACCATCCATACTGCCACCAAAATAACCTTGGGGGGTGACAGGATTAGGGTGGAGTAGAGACCAGGAGTACTCTGTGAATGAGGGGAATATCTGGAGATTAACAGATGTGAGCAACAGAAGTGTAGAGAGTGGTATAGCTGGAGGCAAGCTCGCCAAAAGACCATTGTCTCTATACTCACATTGCATGGAGCATGATATGGGAAACACTGCCTTGGAACACTGATTCCCAAACTCAGGTGCTGATTCGTTGCACAGGCCTCAGGCCCCCAAACTGCCCCTTCCTCACTCCAGACACATTAACATCCTTGATACTCTTGGACCATGTAAAGTATGCTTCCACCTCAGGGCCTTTGCATTTGCTATTCCTTCTCCCTAACATGCTTTCCCCATTTATCTTCAGGTCTCACTTTCTCACTTCCTTCAGGTCAAATGTCAGCAAGGCTGCACCTGACCACGTAATACAAAATAGCCACCCACTCCCACCTGGGGTTCCCTACCTTCCAAGACTTGCTTTATTTTGATCCACAGCACATGCTACCATGTGACAGTCTGTATACTTGCTTGTTTATCTGTTCATTGCCTTTCCCCCCTCTTAGAAGGTAAGTGCCGTGAGAATAAGGTTTTGTCTGTTGTATTGTTGAATACCGCTGTATTCCCAGGGATCAGGATATGGTGATGTTTAATGCACGTTTTTCAATGGAGGAAAGAAGGAGGGAATCGGCTGTAAAGTTTCAGACATCTTCCAAAGCCTCGGGAGCAGAGCCTGGTCAGCAGTAACATGTATGCACTTCCACTGGCTGCTGCTTCCCCAGCTCCTGTCCCGAGTCGCACTGCATCCTCTGTGGAAGCTGGCAAGTCTCACTCCTCTAGGAAGAAGCACTTCCCACGGACCTGCAGCCCCCCACGCCTCCTCCCTCCACACTTGCTGCATGGTCCAGCAAAGCTGCTGTGAAGACATGAACGGCAATCAGCCATAGACCTGAATGTGACGCATGCATTAACCTCTACAGGCTGTCAGCTCCTTACAGGGCAGAACAGCAGAGACAAAATCCAGGAGCTGGTCCCTGAGTGGAGTCAGCCCTGCTTCTCAGACCTTGCCTGATGAGGGGCAGGAGAGAGAAAGGACTCCTCTCTCAGCCAGTCTCTCTTAGGAACCTGCTTCTGACTCAGAGTGGCTGAAACAACTGTGACCCTTGTCACTCAGATGTCACCCCTTTCCATTAGAACTGCACCTTGCTTACAATAAATTAGAAGAAATACCCAGTCATTTACCTCCATCAGAATACATATTATGCATTTTAAGCATGGAATGCATGCACACACACACACATGTGTGCAAAGATACACACACATGCACGCATGCACACACATACACACATATCCAGAGCAAAAGCCGCATCAGGATACAGATAGGCACAGGTCTGACTCTCCACTCTGAAGCATCTCACTAGCTTCTCATCAGTGAAATACAATGGAGGCGTATTCTACGTGGTCTGGTGATGTCCTCCTGGGGCGGTTGAAAGGCGGCACGTTGGCATAGACAGCGAAGTCGTCCTCTTTCCTGGGGGCCAGGTTGATCACGTTGGAATATATGGCATCAGCATGGCAGGAAAGCTCCTTTAGAGACAGGATGCAGGTTAGAGACACCAGCGATTCCAAAGACAAAACCGGCTATGCCGGGGTCCCTATAGGACAGCAAGTGAAACCTTGGGTTCTTGCTGAGCAAGCTTTGATTTTCAAAAACGTTTCTTTTAGGGCTGTTCTCCGCCTCATCACCACTGTGCCTGTGTGGCACCTGCATAGGAAGAGCATGAAATCCTGGCAGAGATAACGGGGAGCCCCTCTAGGTATGACTCAGCCATTTCCTTACCAAAGGTTTGTGGAGAAAGTTGGTCTGATGCTTCAGTTGTTTCTTAAATAGCCCTAGAAGAGTTAATAAATTCAGAGTCAGTCTGAGTTGGGGTAGTAGCCATCTTTCTTTGATTGCTGGACTTAGGGTTGAACTTCAGAATGCAAAGCCACCACATTCAACCCACTGGGCCTCTGAGACTCGGCTAAGTGCCCAGGAAGAGACAGGGAGAGTGAGCACTGTTTTGTACTTTATAATTTTGGTTATTATTTAGATATTACTTGGCATCAAAGTTTCTTTTAAATGATGCATTTGAACCATGTCTGTGCAGATTGCTTATGTGTGACTTTTAGCATAAAGAATTTGTACCACTAACAAATCTTGTTGCTCTGTGCTGAGTCCCTGGCAACTGCAGAGAATAGACCTACAGCCTCCCTCTTCTCCCCTCCCCCAAGGCTGCCCCAGAGGAAAGATGCCCCATTCCTGCCCTCAGTTTCCCCGCTTTCCTCCCACTAAGCTCCAGGCAGCTGGTCAACTCACTCTCATGCCTCCATTTTTTCAGAGTCACGGATAAGAGTCCCACCAGGAGCAAGATGAAGGCCACGACACCGATGGAGCCAGAAACAGCTGTGGCCGCTGTGTGTAGGCTGAGGGAAGTGGACGAGAGAACGAGGACACCTCAGTGCCCCGGCCGGCTGTGGGGACCATCCACAACATGGGCCTGGGGCCTCCCCACTGCTGCGCTTCCACCTCCCCAGCAGCCAACCATCTCCTGCCTCCAGGTCGACCCCCTTCCCTCTGCCCCGATCTCCCACACCATGGAGATCCACACATGATCCCTCCCACACCAATTCCCACACGGGGCCAAGCAGACCCCTTTCCAAGATCCCCGATACTCCTCCAGAGCCAACCCTTCTTTCACCCACCTGCTGGATAGTGCGGGGCCTGAGGTTGAGGTGGTGATGTTCTCTGCAGAAAGGGAAAGGACATTCAAGAGCAATTCTTTAACACATGCTATAGACTGAATGCTTGTATGCTGCCACGACTCATGTGTTAAAGTCCTAACCCCCAAGGTGATGGTATTTGGAGGTAGGGTCTTCGGGAGATGACTAGGTCAAGAGGGTGGAGCCCTCATGAGTGGGATTTGTTCTTTTATAAAAGAGACTCCAGAGGGTCTCCTTGCTTCCTTCCAACCTGTGAGGACACAGCAGAAGACAGCCATCTGAGAACCAGAAGTGGGCTCTCACCAGACACTGAGTGTGCTAGTGCCTTGCCTTAGACCTTCTGGCCCCCAGAACTATGAGAAATGTCTGTTGTTTATAAAACACCCAAGCAGTAATTTGTTATAGCAGCTGGAACTGACCAAGACAACACACACACAAATGAACTCTATGGGAGCCTAAACAGTAATATCAGTTACCTTACACTGGGGACTTGGTATATGCCCGGCACATTCATTATCTTATTCATTCTTCATAGACAGATAATAAGCTGGAAACAATCAGTATACCCTCCTTACAGCAGGGAAACCAGCCCACAGAGACCAGACTTGCTCAAGATCATAGAGCTAGACAGTGGCAGAGATCAGACTTGAACCCGTGTCTCTCCAACATGTGTTAAACTGCAGCTTGCTATCAGGCTATCATTGTACTCTTGAGTTCTGCCATTCTTACAAAGGGTTAAAGGTTACCAGCTATGGCAGGAGGATGCCGGTGACCATCCCCAGGGAGGGGCATGTGAGGGATGGGGAATGGTCAGGACACTGGGCAGTTGGAACGGAACCAGGCGGAGGTGACAGCTGTTATAGCCTGCCCATGTTTGGTGAGGAGGTGAAGGTGTTATCATCCACACTTCAAAAATTTCTCTCGCATCAAGGGATGGAGACACTAAACTTATACCCTCTCCAGCCAGTCTGACCCTGGATTCTCAGAGTTAGAGGGAATCTTAAAACATATGTAACCCAACCCTCCTACTGTACAGATCCTCAGGGTCAGTTACTTGCTGCTACTAAGTGCTGGAGTCAGGACTGGAGTCCACGTTTTCAACTCTAAACTCAAAGCTTTCTTGCCTATACTTGGGCCTCTTCCTATTCTTTCCCCCTTAAAGTGGAGCTGCGTGGTTCAGCCCCTCTAGCAGGCGACACCTCTCCAGACACATCTTGGGAGCTGGCTCCTTTGATACCCAAATGCAGAGACTGCTGCTGGAGTGGGGAAGAGGGAACCTACTGGATCACTAGGGCAAGCTAATACCCACTGACAATAAATACATAATATCAGAAGGCGGAAGTACTGCACCAAGAATTACAGCTCCTGGAGCACTGAGGCTGGGTGTATTTGGGTCAGGCACCTCCGTGGTTCACTTCCTCTTGGCCTTCTTTCCTGTCCCCCTTCTATGTATGACCACTGACTCACCAAGTTTCTCTTTAACAGACCCTGCCCACGGTCTGGGCAAAGGGTAGGGAGGGGACTTGGAAACGAGATCTTTTAGTGCCCACAGCACCAGCAGGGAAGCACTCAAGAGAAGACACTGAGACTCAGGACTTGAGTGTGTAGGCAGTGGTGAAGGTCACACAAAGCCCTGAGTGATGAGACAGGAGCCTGGGGCACCAGCTGCAGGCTGCTGGCCAGGCAGGGCACACCTATTCTCAGCCAGGAAGACAGACAACGTGACAGTGTCCATCTAGGGCCAGGAGAGGGCAAAGGCCTGTCCTGGGAAGGCCGAGGAAGGTCGGTGGGCATGAGAACAGCATGAAGGATGACATCACGAAAGAGTCTGAGCTTTAGGGTCCAGTGACCTGGTCTCACGTTTCCAACTGTGTAATCTTAGGACAGTCATGTCACCTCTCTGGGTCTCATTTTCCTCATCTGTGAGATGGTCATAGTGTTGTTCAAGAACTAAATGGTCAGACTAGTATTTAATAGTAATTAGTAGCTACTTGCCCAGGCCTGGCTTAACTGAATGGTGCTGTCTAGGACTTACCGCTGGAGTCCTGGAACGTATGGTTGGTCGAATTCATCTTGCCCAGGGGTCCACCCAGAGGTTTTTCTTCCATGTACTGATGTTCCCAGAACAGAGGGTTCCTATTAGCTCAAAGCGGAGTTTCTCAGAGTACTTAGCAGCCGCTGGCAGACACAGGCCCCCAGGAACCAGCAATTCTCTTCTCCTCCCTATGTTTCATTCATCCACAGGAACCTGTCTGATGCAGAGAATGTTAGACTCTCACCTCTGGGAGGGAAGGCCTCAGGGCCCTGAGATAACTTCTCTGTCTTAAAGGGGTCATATTCAGACAGGCCTTCCCCAAGCACACGGTCCAAAGTCAACATCCCAGCCTCTCTGGGCCATCGCCTTCTGATCTCTTAACTAGAGTATGAATTTACCACAACCACTGATTCATTTGCTTGCTTACTGTCAGTCTCTTATCACAAGAACATAAGCTCCACAGGAACAGAAACCTTCCCTGTTGTGGTCATCACCATATCCCCGGAGCCTAGAACAGTGCCTCTCCAATTAATAGGTTCAACACACATTTGTTGAATGAATGAATGAATAAATGCCCAAGATTCCTTCCGAGAACCCCAACCAGGGTCCCTCAGCCTCTATCAGAACCTTGGCAAGTCTCCACCACAGACTTTCAATCCCTTAATTGATGGTAAATTTTTATCATTTGAAGGAGAAGTTGATTTAAGACAGCCCCAAGTCATCTGAACCAACCAAACTGGATGATAAAGTAGGGGATGATTGATCTGGGAAGGGCTGATTGTGGAAGTTGAGGCACTTTGTCTGCAGAACCAAGAGCAGTGTCCTGGCAGAGCCTGGAGGAGGTGGCCCCACCTGGGTGTGTGGAGAGCCGAAGGGGCCAGGGTACAGAGGACGCTGCCCGGGAGCTGCCATCATGGCCCCTGCTGTGGGTGGGAAGTGAGGAGAGATGGTGTTTAGCACTAAATGAAAGAGGATCTGTCCCCCTCCACCCCCCACCCACGGCCACACCCCACAAAGAGACCTGCAGGAGCCATCAGGAAATCCCCTAACAAGGCAAGATGTGGAGCCAGAGCCCAAACGACACAGATGAGTCTCTGAGCCCGTCTGGACTCAGTTTCCCCCTTTGGGGAATGGGGCGAGGTGAAAAGAATAAGGTAGGACTACAAAATGCATCACTGACTCAATGGCCATGAGTTCGAGTAAACTCCGGGAGTTGGTGATGGACAGGGAGGCCTGGCGTGCTGCGGTCCATGGGGTCACAAAGTCAGACACGACTGAGAGACTGAACTGAGCTGTTGAACAAAGTGACTAGTTCCTCCCCTTCCAGTGTCTTCTTTGGATGTGCCCCCCCATACATTGTATTTTTTTTCTAATAATCATCCTAATTGCTCAAGTAACATTAAGAACTCCTCTGTGGAGAAGAGCCTTTCTAACTGTTAAGAGTTGTTTTTATTTTTAATTTTGAAAGAAGGAGGGGACATCATAATTTTTTTAGTTTGGGGCTTCTGAAAGTTTTTATTTTATTAGGAACATTCATATGGCTATAAACTTAAAAGGTACAGAAAGATAGTCCTTGAAAAGATGCTTTTCTACTCTTCACCCCAAGCAGCTATTTCCTCCCTCTGGAGGCAACCAGTGTACAAAAAGTGTACATGTTTGCTCATGAACACCTTATGTGTATATGAACAAACACACACACATACACAGACATATAGACGCACACATGCAATACAGTTTTTTTCCTGTGGATGACAGCATACTATATATATTAATCTGCCTCTTGCCTTTTCATGTGATACACTTTGGAGTTAATTCGTTGTCAACATGTAAAGCTCTTTCTCATCCTTTTTTTCATTTGCCAGCTGTTCTACTCCGTGGATGTCCATGGTTTATTTAACTGGTCTCCTTGTTGTGGACATTAAGGTTTTGTTTCCAATATTTACTCTTCAGAGGATGGTGCAATTATTAAACATATTCAAACATCATCTGCACATGTGTGAACATACATGTAGCATTAGGGAAATGCTTGTTAAGGCAGCTATGAAATCCAAATATTAAAAAGTCAGTGTTACTTTTTAAAAATCCAAAAATGTAGTGTTATCCAATTGACTACCCAAGTAATTCACCAGATTTCACTTTATGTTGCCTTTGGCTATTTCCTCAAATCAAAATGCTCCTCAAAGAACAAAGATCTGAAAGCACTAAGGGTATTCATCAGAGCTGCCTCACCTCTGGAGGCATCTCTATAAGAACCCAAATGTCACCATCAGAATAAGTGGAGTGTTTCCCAGGGGGACTATGAGGGTGGAGTAACTCTCAATGACACAGATATTTCCAAGTACTTCAAACAAGACTTACTGAGACCCAATCCATACTCTGGAGTGCTGCACGGGGTCCCAAAGGGGTCCCAAAGAGGCGGACCTGACTCAGCGACTGAACAACAACCCATAGTCTGCTTAACACGAGGAAACCCATGGTCCAATGCAGCAGCCAGTTCTCAAAGTGTGGTCTGCAAATATCCTGGGGGCTATCCTGGGGGTTCCAGAAATCCTTGCAGAGGTTTGGGGGCATAAAAACTCTGTCATCATAGTGCTAAAGGGCTGGGTGCTATTTTCACTCTCTGTGTTTCTCAGGGTCCAGTGGAGTTTTCCAAAGGCTACGTGACATGTGATATGGCAATAGACTCATTTCAGAAGCAGATCTGAGGATCTAGCTCTCTTTTACCAGGCTAGATATTAACCATGAGATTGACAAAAACATCAAGCAACACCTTTCTTCTCATTAAATTTTTCATCATTTGGAAAATATGGTTAATTTTTCACAGAGGTGTGTTAATTGTATTAATATGTAATGATTATAATACTTCTTTAAAAATTAGTTAAAAGCTTATTTTTAAATTGTCAGTTTTAATTCCTAATGTGGTAAATGCAGATAGATACAGCCTGCATAAATTCCTTGAGTTCCTTAATAATTTTTAAGCATATAAAGGGGCACTGAGACCAAAACATCTGAGAACAGCTGTTCTGAGTTTCTTCACCAGAGGGTGGGTGAGGGTACTTCACCAAGGGTGTGATCAAGGAGCACAAACTAAAAGGTGCAGGAGAAACAGAAATGGGCTTCTTCAGAGAGCAGTATGGGTCAAGGAGAACAGATAATCTCTTGGAAAAGAGAACTCTCTGGGCCTTCTGGCTGGCACCATGGCAGCTGTGTAGACAGGCTCTGCCAGAGAGGATGGAGCCCTGTGTGGGGGACAGGCTCCGAGACTGGGGGACCGGGGAGAGGAAGCAGGGCTCTTGTGCCAGACTAAGCTGCCGACTGCGTCCCCCTTGGATTCCCGGGGTCACCTGTCTGTCCTGCCCCAAACAAATCCACACTAGGGCCTGAAATTCCAACGAAGTGTTTCATTCTCTTGGCCAAAAGGCAAATTCAATCCCAAACAACATCAAGTGTTCAAGCTTACCCAAATATGGTTATTTAGGTGGATTAGAAGGTTGCATTTTATTAAAACAAAAATGTGTATCCATGCCTGGGTTAGGGTAGTTGCCTAACCCATGCCTGTGAGGTGGGGGAGGGGGAGCGCAGGGCAGAGGGTAGGGAATACATCTGGAGGCCAAAAGTTATTAAATAAATGGACCATAAGAGCTATGCCTGGACCCATGCTGGCAGAGCGCCACTAACAGAAGAGTTTGATCAAGCTAATTTTGGGAAACTAAAATCAAAGAAAAGAGTCCAATCTAGCCAAAATTTTTTAAAATTTTATGGTATGTAACCCAGCAGAACAAAGCAGGCTACGGGGGTAGAGAGGAATTAGACATGGGCCCTGGGCTCAGAGTGGTATCCCCTGTCCTCCCAGCCCAATCTGGCAGGAAAGGTCTCCACTGACCCCCCAACAGCTGTAAGAAAAGGCAGGTGTGTGGTCAGTGCTCAAGTAATGTACCAACAAAGGGCTATTGGATCAGAGAGGAAGGACAAACCATTCCTAACTTGAGCAATGAGGGAAGGCTGCATGGAGGAGGTGCCATTTGTGCTGATTCTGAACAACAGGAAGGGTTTCTACAGGCAGTGCTGAGACTCTGGATGTACCACAGTGCCAGGAGCAGCCGTTGGAATATGAAGTCATTTCTCCCTTGGTGAACATCTGAAGTTATTGATAAGAGGAGGAACCTTAGACACCTGAGGCTGAAGGGAAGCTATCACCTAGGATGGTGGAAAGAGGGACCGAATCTGGGGAAACACGGTGTGGGAAAGACAGTTCACAGACGAAAACTCAAGAGCCCTGTGTGGACCAAGATCACGTCTGATCTGACTCAACCAGCCCGTGGCCAGTGCCTGGAACATAGCAGGCCCACAGTAAGTGCTTACTGAGTGAGGGAAAGATGGGACACACTCCTTTTCTCCAGGCTGGCCAGACATACTGCTGTAATCAAGTGGGGTCATCAGGAAAAGAGAGGGGAGGATGTTCAACCAAACCTCCTCCTGGCTTCCTCTGATGTCACTATTCTCACCATTTCTGGGACTTTAACCGCTTTTCTGGTTGTTTTTGCAAATTTTCATTTCTCAAAATAGAAACCCTGTGTCCTCTTGAGGTTTATTACAGAGCCATTTATTGGATGGGGTTGCTGTAAAGATCATCATTAGGTTTTCAGTTTGCACTGTGGCTTATTTGCAAGCTTCAAACAGTTAGCTTAATGTTTGGCTTCCTAAGAAAATAAGAATGTTAACCCCTTAGGCTCCTACAGAAGTTCACCGCTGGACATGTAAAAGCAGCAACTGTCCACAGGTGACTTAACAGGATATGATTTCAAATTCATTGAAATTACTGGCTTTTACTGGCTCTGCACATATACTTCATTCGATTTTAAAATAACACAATTTTTAAGGAAAGCATATTTTATCAAGTACAAAATGGAAACACATCTCTCATACACATCTCATGATTTCATTTACTATTCAGAACTGGGACCGTCTCCCTGGCCTCCACATAGCTGTTTGAAGGATTAGGCATACCACTTATCCCCATTTGTAGATGAATTGACGAGGATTCCCAGGGAGTGAGGAGTGAATTGCCCAGTGTCTCTGCGAACCTCAGGAGGAGCATCCAAACATGTGTCTCAGAATCACTTAGCCTTTCCTCCATTTCATACACAGGTTGTTTCTCTGCCTGTGGGAGCACTTTATTAGCTGTGACAGCCATAAAAATGTTTAGCGTAGCC